CCCCCCTGGCCCATCCCTGCCGTGCGCAGCATGCGCTGGCGACGGGGAGCTGACTGAACGCAGCACACAGCAAGGACGGTCCAGGATGAGGGGGTGGGGGACGGCCATAGAAATTGCCATGAATGCCTGGTGAGCCTGACCAGCATGTGCTTGCTCTCACCCCAGCCCGGCGCCCAGTGAGTCATCTTCAATAGACCACCGCTCTACACTAAGAGAGGTCTCCAATCTTTTTAAGCAAGAGATCACTTTTTTAATTTAAGTGCAATCCAGGATCCACCTGAAACCCAAATACTCTGGTCCCACCTTTTTCCTGGCCCTGCTCACTCCATCCTCTGTCCCTCCCCCATCCTCCCTCCCTTTTACCAGGTGGGGCAGAGGTTTGGGGTGCTGGCTGTGGTCTTGGGCTAAGGGATCTGGAGTGTGAGAGGGGTTCTGAGCTGAGCTTGGGGCAGGCACTTACAGTGCCAGAGGGGGTTCTAGGTGTAGGTTCTGGGACTGCACACATCTCACTTACACCCAAGAAGGAGAATGCACCAAAGTGAGATGCACAGACCCAGCGGATTAAGACATGAAGTTTGGTAGGTTACATGAGGCCATTTGTCCCAAGCATCTTTGAGTTACGTCTCAAAGTGCCCATAAGTCCATGTCATAAAGCACGGGGGATCTGTCACACCTTCCCCCTGAAATCACTGCCAGAGGGTTGGGCAGTGTCCAGTGCAAAGGCCGTGGGCTTTGGTTAGGTCTCCATCCAGAGCCACCAAGCCCTAAGCTGTCACTCCTGGCAGTTTTTCCACAGTTCTGGGCTCCTGTCCCGCGAGGGTCCAACACACACGGAGATGTAGCAGTGCCCCCAGAATGCAGGTAACAATGTTTCTCCATGTGTCAGGGTCATGGCATTCAGTCACCATTGCCAGGAGACAGTGTGTGCCTCAGTTTCACCTTCCATAAAGCAGAGCAGGTTAGTTGTGCCTCTGTTCCTACACCCAGCTCTAAGCCCTGCACAGTCATTAGCTTAGAAACTGCATGATCCTGGGATCCCTTTGCTGCTGTCCCCAGCAGGCACAACATGTTCCCAAAAGTTTAAGCATGTGACAAGAGGTCCATTGTCCATCTGAGTCGCCTTGTGCTCACCCACAAGAGCGGCAGGGGAAGACGTAAGGTTACCAGCAACCCACTGCTAGAGCAGCATTTCCAATTACGGATCTCACACCACGCTCTCTGGTTAGGCCATTTTTGCGGTGCAGGATCTCTTCCCCCTTTAGAACCAGGGGTGAGCTCAGTTCCAGGTTTCCCTCTCTCCTCGGGGAGGAATGCACAGGCCACGCCAAGCACTGCTTGGAGGCCCTGGGAAGGAATGGGCTCCCAACGGCAACACATTCCCACCCCCTGCTGAGGCATCCCTCTCCTCCCCCCTCAGGCAGCCCATCAGCAGCCCCCCCTGCCATTACAGCCAGCCAGAGCTTGCTACCTCCCCGTCTCCAATCAAGGACCAATTCCGTGTCTGACTCTAATGCACAGGCCACGCCAAGCACTGCTTGGAGGCCCTGGGAAGGAATGGGCTCCCAACGGCAACACATTCCCACCCCCTGCTGAGGCATCCCTCTCCTCCCCCCTCAGGCAGCCCATCAGCAGCCCCCCCTGCCATTACAGCCAGCCAGAGCTTGCTACCTCCCCGTCTCCAATCAAGGACCAATTCCGTGTCTGACTCTGGTGTGTTTTGGATCAATGGGGTTTCCACTGACCCCCCCCATTTTCTGCTTCCAGGAGTCCAACGGCAGAGCAATCTGAGGATGGGAGCTCAGACTCACCACCTCTGTCATCAACAGCCCCAGAGGATGCCGCACGCTACTCTGGGAAATCAGGACTGAGACTTGTCCTTGTAGGTAAAACGGGAGCGGGGAAAAGCGCCACAGGAAACACCCTCCTCGGCAGGAAAGTGTTTGAGTCCAAACTCTCACCAAAGTCTGTCACCGCGAAATGCAAGAAGGGCGAAAGCCCCTGGAAAGGGAGGCAGGTGGTGGTGCTGGATACCCCTGGCATTTTTGACACGTGTGTCCCAGTGGAAGACACGTGTCGGGAGATCAGTCGCTGTATTGCCCTCTCCTCCCCAGGGCCCCACGCCATCGTGCTAGTGGTGCCCTTGTCCCGTTACACCGAGGAGGAAAGAAAGGCAGTCACACGCATCCAAGGCATTTTTGGAGCCAAGGCCATGAGGTACATGATCCTGCTATTCACTCGGAAGGATGATCTGGAGGGCACCGAAGTGGAAGAGTTCTTAGAAGATGCTGATTCCAAGGACCTTAAGGAGCTGGTAGGGAAGTTTGGGGACCGATACTGCGCTTTCAACAACAAAGCCACAGGGGAGGAGCGGGAGGCCCAGGTGGACGAGCTGCTGGGGATGGTGGAGGGGATGGTGAAGAAGAACGGAGGCACCTGTCTTACGAATGAGATGTATCAATATGCCGAGGAGAAGCTTCAGGAGAAAATGGCGGAGCTGAAGAAAAGCTACGCGGAGCAGCTGGAACGAGAGAAAGAGAAAATAAAACGCGAGTACGAGGAGAAAATCAAAGAATTAAGAGAAAAGAAGCAGCCACTTGCCGAAGCAGCAGAGGCGGAGATTTTGCAGCAGCAACGGAGACGTTTAGAAGAAAAAGAGCGAGATTATGCTTCAAAACAGGCAAGAACCAGGGAAGAAGCTGAAGGTGGTTTCAAATGGGAACCCCTTTTGACTGCTTTTGCAGCTGTTTTCAAATTAGTTCATGAATGGTTTAAGGATGAATAATGAGCCGAATTTACTAACTTTAGTCTGAATCTCTAAAAGTCACACATTTCAGTGCTTGCTATACCTATAGACTCCAACATGCTGCCCCCAAGAGCCAAATTATTCCCTGGTGTAGCTGCATGGATGCCAGCAGAGCTATGGAGGGAATGAAATGAGCCCTTCCTTGCTAAGATACCTTCCCGCCTGTGCTACAGACTCTATCGCATGCTTTGATGTTCTGTTCCAAGGGCTAATTGTCCCCACTGGAAGGGGGAGCAGAGCACAGGATCTGAACAGAAATCAAATATATGTCTTTAGGTATTAAGACAGCCACAGTTGGGTTAGCTTAATGGGTGACATTTGTATGTATCCCTGGAAAGGGGTTTTCGTGAGGTTTGTGAACTGAAGCTAGAGAAATATTAGCTTAGGATTTTATTTTTATCTTTGGGTGCTCTTTTCCCTTTGTCACTGTGCGCGTCATCCTAGAAAACACATGGATGTGCTTATGAAATATATCTTTGCTGCCACCTGTTACCACAACATGAAGCTGCATGCGCATTCAGTCGTGGGCACAAACAGCTTCTAGTGATACTGATGTGCCACGTCTGTGGATAGAAACGGGGCTGGGGATGGGTTCTGATGCTTTCATACTTTACCGATACCAATAAAATTGTTGCTGTTATTAAACTTGTGTCTGGGGTTGCTAATCATAGAATCATAGAATACTAGGACTGGAAGGGACCTCGAGAGGTCATTGAGTCCAGTCCCCTGCCCTCAAGGCAGGACCAAATACTGTCTAGACCATCCCTGATAGACATTTATCTAACCTACTCGTAAATATCTCCAGAGATGGAGATTCCACAACCTCCCTGGGCAATTTATTCCAGTGTTTGACCATCCTGACAGTTAGGAACTTTTTCCTAATGTCCAATCTAAACCTCCCTTGCTGCAGTTTAAGCCCATTGCTTCTTGTTCTATCCCCAGAGGCCAAGATGAACAAGTTTTCTCCCTCCTCCTTATGACACCCTTTTAGATACCTGAAAACTGCTACCGTGTCCCCCCTCAATCTTCTCTTTTCTAAACTAAACAAACCTAATTCCTTCAGCCTTCCCTAATTGGTCATGTTCTTTAGACCTTTCATCATTCTCGTTGCTCTTCTCTGGGCCCTCTCCAATTTCTCCACATCTTTCTTGAAATGCGGCGCCCAGAACTGGACACAATACTCCAGCTGAGGCCTAACCAGCGCAGAGTAGAGCAGAAGAATGACTTCTCGTGTCTTGCTCACAACACACCTGTTAATGCATCCCAGAATCATGTTTGCTTTTTTTTGCAACAGCATCACACTGCTTACTCATATTCAGCTTGTGGTCCACTATAACCCGTAGATCCCTTTCTGCCAGTCGCTTCCCATTGTGTGTGTGTGAGACTGATTGTTCCTTCCTAAGTGGAGCACTTTGCATTTGACTTTATTACACTTCACCTATTTACCTAATGTGAAAACTGTCTCCAAAGATCAGTGCCAAGTGGTCCCTAGAGCCTTGGCAGGGGCATGAAGAGAGGTGGTGCAAGGAGCTTTGTTCCCCCCACATCTGCTGTGCAAGGCCCCGGCAAACTGCAGCCCCTTTACACTGGAAGGTCAGACTCTGCTTTCTGAAGGTGCCCCAGGTCACTCTGAAGCGCCACTCTGCCCCCCCACTCCCACCTCCTACACACACCCTTCCTCTCCAGCCCAGGTGACTAATGGGGGATGCAGGGTATGGCAGGGGGGTCCAAGGCTTCCAGGAGCATTGGAGGAACCATCCCTCCTGGAGTCCTCCCTACAGCTGCAGGCAGAGTGGCAGGATCCCAGCCAATGCTCAGACAATTGGCGGATCAGCTACAATGGACAGCTGTTGGTGGGTAAGTAACTGGGAGAAATGCATAGCACCAGGAACTGTGCACTGCCCGTAGCGCTGAGCACAAACCACCACAAAAGCAGCACACCCAATAACCCCAATACACATGGCCAACACATAGTCACCTCAGATACAAAACATGAGTATGTCTACACTAGCCCCCTATTTCGAACTAGGGAGGCTAATGTAGGCATTCGAAGTTGCACATCAAGCCCGGGATTTAAATATCACAAAAGCCTGATCTCTACAGACTAGCGCTGAGCACAAACCACCACAAAAGCAGCACACCCAATAACCCCAATACACATGGCCAACACATAGTCACCTCAGATACAAAACATGAGTATGTCTACACTAGCCCCCTATTTCGAACTAGGGAGGCTAATGTAGGCATTCGAAGTTGCACATCAAGCCCGGGATTTAAATATCACAAAAGCCTGATCTCTACAGACTTTGGTATAAAAACTCCCCCAAAATCCTAATACTCGGACTTTGGGGAATCTGCTGCCACCACCCAAGTATTCCAAGAAAACCAGGGAAGAGATCACTTGGGAAATCTCCTTCCTATAACCTCAGGGGTCCCTCAAGCTCTTTTCCCCAAAGAGCTTGAAATGCCGTGGTAGCTGATTCCTAGTCAGACAGATAGACAGACCAAGGGACACAAAAATGAACCAGTTCTGGTTAGTAAGAAAAATAAAACAAACTTGTATTATCAAAACAAACTTCCTATTGCAAACATAGTTAATGTGGGTAGATGGTAAGAGCCACCAGTTGATATACTCAGGAGAGACAACCCCATGGGCCAAAAGGTTATGTCTACACTAGCCCCCTAGTTCGAACTAGGGAGGCTAATGTAGGCATTTGAAGTTGCAAATCAAGCCCGGGATTTAAATATCCCGGGCTTGA